TGTGTAAAAAATACCTCATCTGAATATGTAAAAATATGCCAGTGTTTAAGTTTTCACTTTTTAACAAGTTTTTTTGTTTGTTTTTGGTTAATCCTCACTCTAGGACATTTTCCATTGACTTTTAGATAGAGTGGGAGGAAGAGAGGGAGAGAGAGAGAGAGAGACATCGATTAGTTGCCTCCTGCATGACCCTCACTGGGGCCAGGGATCAAACTTGCAACCCAAGCATGTGCCTTTTACCAAGAATTGAACCCATAACCCTTTGGTCCTCAGACCAACGCTTTAACCACTGAGCCAAACCAGCCAGGGCTTACCAAGTTTGATTAATTAAAAAACAGATGTGAAAAGGTCTATTAATTATTCAGCTCAGTAATACATGAATGAAACCTATCAATTAAAAAATAAAAGCCAAAAAAATTAGTGGAAAGAAAATAGAAATAAATAAAAAAGGAAATATTCCGGAGAAAAAACTAACATGTGATGTTTGAGATTTTGCTGCCTACATTTTCTTCCAGAATTTTTATGGTTTCATGGCTTACATTTAAGTCTGTTATCCATTTAGAATTTATTCTTGTGTGTGGTGTAAGTTGGTGGTCTAGCTTCATTCTTTTGCATGTGCCTGTCCAATTTTCCCAACACCATTTACTCCATTGTATGCTCTTGCAACCTTTGTTGAATATTAATTGCACATAATGTCTTGGGTCCATTTCTGGGTTCTCTGTTCTGTTCCACTGATCTACGTTTATCAAGAACTTTAAGTCAACAAGAAAAAGACAATCCAACAGAAAAATGGGCATATCACCAAGGGGGTATCCAAATGTTCAATTAGCGTTTGAAAAGGTGATCCCCACCTAATTTCATTTACAAAATGAGAAATGCAATGTAAACCACTACCTCACCCAGGAAAATGTCTTAAATGTGAAAGACTGACAATCCAAGTGTAGACAAGTATGTGGAACAATGTAAACTTTAATATGCTGCTGGTAGAGCGTATATTGATACAAGCATTTTAGAAAACTATTAGGTATTATATACTACAATTTAATATAATTCTGTGCAATTCCCAAGCAATTCTACAATTTAATATAATTCTGTGAATTCCCAAGCAATTCTAGTTATATACTATTAGAAATGTGTATGCATATGGAAAAGCTATACATATGAATGTTTATAGCAATATTATTATTATTTTTAATATTTTTATTGATTTTTAGAGAGAGAGGAAGGGAGAGGGAGAGAGAGAAACATGGCTGAGTGAGCAAAATATCCATCAGCTGCCTCCTGCATGCCCCCTACTGTGGATCCAGCCTTAAACCTGGGTGCCCTGACCAGAAATCAAACTAGCAACCTTTCAGTGCATGGGACCATACCCAATCCACTGAGCCACACTGGCCAGGGCTATAGCAACATTATTTAAAATAGCCTCAAAATGGTAACAACGCAAATGTCCAACAACAGATTAAAAATTTTTTTGCTATATTCATTCACTGGAGTGCTATATAATGATGAAAAACAAATTATTGCTATACGCAACAGTATGGATAAATCTCACAAACATAACATTGAAAAAAGACATCAGAATCAAGAAATGCCTACACTATGATTCTACTTTTATGAAGATTAAAAAAAGTGAACTTGGTTCATTTGAGGAATGGGGAGGGACTGAGGCTTGGTTGCTAGTAATGTTCTATTTTTTTGACCTAGATAGTGGTTACACATGTTTAGTATATAATAATTTAATGACTTAAGATTTGTGCACTTTCTTACATATTTGCTATACTTCAATTAAACACTTTAAAAATATAGTTGGATAAAAAAATAAGAATGTGAAATTAACATTTATGAAAAAACAATAATCATAGCTTTGTGAAGCACAATATCAGATATTATATAGTGTTCCTCAGAGCTCCCTTTCTTCCTTTGGAGGTGGCCTATAACCTTATCTCAAGCTTCCTAAAGACAGGCAACGTTCATACTTATATTTATCTACATTTAGGACCAAACACCCAGAACAGTGTCTACAACAGATCTTCAATCAATGTAGTCAAATGACACTCAGTTCTGGAATTGGAAAGCAGAACAGTGATTCGGGGTAGAAGTCAGAGGTGGCACAAGCAAACTTCCTTAGCAATGTTGTGAAGGTACTCAGTCCAGGCCAGGCTAAAAATGTATTGCTATCAATTCTAAATAAACCCTTTTTTAACCTTATATACTTTTAAAGTAACTATTATTAAAATCCATATATAGTTTCCTAATAATTCTGCAAGTACATTAATGTAATATGGATTGTTAGAAATGTTGGCTGGATATACTTATTAATTGAAAAATAGATTTGGTATCTCTTCTGGATTTCTCAATAGTTAGCCTTTGTTATTTTATAAAATCTTTGGTTGTTTCATTAGCCTGGCTTTTTCTCCCAATTTTTGATTAGGTGGTATTATTATGAAGAAGAAAAATGGTATAAGGGTGTGTGACACATGTTTAATATTTACCACTTTTACTAAGTATTTATATTTATCTCTGTATAGATGTACATAAATGTGTTTGGGTAAAGGGTAAATAGGCACTGATGGAGGACAGATGGTTCAAGGTAAGGACAAATGTCTTAAGTGACTATAGCTTGGTGAGAAGATAATCTGGCAGAGAATTGAAAATTCTATTAAAGTACAAAAATTGTTCTTATAGTCACATAATCATTCCATAAACATTTATTGAATTCCTTAAAATTTCAAAATATTGTTCTAGGTACTGGCAATATAATAATGAACAAATCAGATATGATCCCTGTTCTCATGGAGTTTACATTCTAATGTGAGGGACACACACTAAGCAAACGCCACAATTATTGCATGACAATTTTAATGAATGCTAGTGAAGTCTATGTTCTGTTGAAGCATATAACATATATAAAGAATGGAACACATAGTTAGGGGATTAAATGGGAATGATGCTTGAGCTAGTTTTTATATAAAATGACTTAATTGATGATGGTGGGGAATGGGAGGGGCATAATTCCTGGGTATTACATGCAACAGTTGAAAAGATCAGCACGACTGGTACACAGTGAACAACAAGGACAGTGGCCTTGGCTAGAACTGGTGTGTTGGGAGGGACAAAATGCACAGAAGGACTTGTGGATTGGGTTAATAATTTTGTCCTTTATCCTAATAAATGCAGGATGCCATTAAAGGTTCTTAAACAGTGTAGAAAGCAGGTTGGTATTGCAGAAAAAGTTGGTCTGGCAATTGGACCTTGATCGAGGATCGTAGGCCTTTAAGGAAATGTGTAGCCTCCTAGAATGACTTCTTCATGGCTAAATTGTGAATTTGGACTAGATGAGCATTAAGGTTTCCTTCAGCTTTAAAATTCTATAAATACTTCTGTATATTCAAGGCCAAAATGTGAGTTAAAAAGTTAAAAAAAATTTAATTATAGTTGGCATACAATATTATATTGATTTCAAGTGTACAGCATAGTGATTAAACATTTATATAACTTATGAAGTGATCAACCATAAGTCTAGTACCCATCTGACACACAGGTCATATTTGGTGAGCTCTTCCCATTTGTAGAAATGAATAATGTTTAGATGCAATTAAGAATCATAATTTAATCTATGTAATGTGGATAGGGCTGAAGTTTCATTATCTCAAAGAAGGCTGGTAAGTCTTCTTTAAGTAGGTAAGTGGGGAAGAAGATGGTAGTGACCAGATGCCAAATAAATGTAATCAATACTTGCAAGGATAAAGACAGAAGGTAAGATGTGGTAAGATGGGTGGGTAAGATGGGTGAAATTCACCTCACTAGGATCATCCAACTTAAAGGCAGCTAGTGCCAGTCAAAGGGAAGTTTGGGTGGGAAGGCACTGTTTATCAGCCATTCGGTTCCCCCACCATTTTGACACGTATAATTGACATTTCCTCAAGTTTGTTACTTGTGTAATATGTTTTGCAAAAACAGTTTGGAGCACCCCATTCCTTGAGATTTGCTCAAATAAAACTCCTTCTAGTTAAAAACTCTGGAGCCAGGTGAAGGCGATTTTACAATCTGAAGAACAATCATGTTGGCTTATGTGCGTTTTGGGGGAGGTAGAAGGAACTATAATTCCAAAGTATTCCAGCTAAACAGGACGTTGGCTATCACCTTCAAAGCACTTGCCTAATTTTACAGATAAGACAAAGGAAACTTTAGGGGTGAGGCGATTTTCCTAAGGGGACAATAAACGGTGGAGCCCAGCCACAGTCCGAGGGCACTTCCACGACCCCCGGTGGGCTCCTGCGTGTCCCTTACCTGTGACGCTGCAGTCCTCTTCCTGGTCCGGACAGTGTGCTGGAGGCCGGACGCAGGGAGGCCTCTCAATGCCTGACTGCCTAGGGCTCTCCTCCCTCTTCGGGGTCGCCCGCTTGGTGTCCCTCGTACCCCCACAGGGCTGGGGAGGACACACGGTGCAGGGAGGCACAGCGCCCGCCACGCGCCTCGGGCGCTGGGAGAATCACGGGTTCGTCGGAATCACGGAAGGGACGTCAACACGGGCGGGAGCACAGTGGTCAGAGCAGCTCTCCAAGCGGCCGCTGCCCCGGACCGGTCGGCGGCCCCGCACCGCCGGGCCCTGGGGAGCGAACAGCGACTTCGCGGACGGGCGGTCGCCGCAGTGGGCGGTCGCGCGGTGGGCTGGCGCCGAGGCAGCCTCGGTGCGGGGAAGCCGGGGCCCTGCTCTCCGCGCGCCCGTCCACGCCGCACCCGTCGTTTCCTCCCCCTCCGGCCCCCGGAAGGGCCGAACTGGGCCCCCAGGCGGGGAGCACCCGGCTCGAACACCTTCCTCCGGGGAGAGCCGGGGACCGCCCGCGGAGGAATACAAATTTCGCGCCGGGAGAGCTGAGGTGGGCGGTAAGGAGGCCCGGGCCGGAAGTGGTGGTTGTCATAGCTACCGAGGTGCCCAGCCTCTTCCCCGCCCCCGCCCTCCCCATCCCCGAAACATAACCAGATGCTCGAGTGGCCAGTTGATTTGAGAGAAGACCAGACCGGAAATCGTTGTTTCCTTGGTAACCCCTGAGCGGGTTGCCGGGGACCTGACCCCTTTTGGTCTCTTTGAATCTCTGCTGTAACGTCATTTCTAACGCAGATCTCACAGATTCTGGCCTGTCTCCTGCCATGATTCCCGGGAAATACCGCTCTGTTTCTGGCCGGGCTCCGAACAACGTAGGTTGGGTCTCCTACTTTCCCTTTCTTTCCATTCGTGCCTCCTTTCTGTCTGGCGTCTTTGTCTTAGGTGATGTATGATTGGGACCAGGACTGCTGAGTCTACTTAAGCTATTGTCTGACCGAGGCTGGAGATTCGTGGGCTGGACGTGGAGGGTATTCATATCATGGGCAAAGTCTTGTCCCAGATCTGGGCTTCCCAGAACGTGGATCTGCTGTGAAAGGCTAAGGGCCATTTAAATTCCTTTAACTAGTCAGTACATTGATTTTAAATTAAGAAAATAATTTATTAGTAATAGACATTCCCATCTTCTTCACCTGTTTCATTGAGATACTTAGGCCTGAAATGGCAAGTATCAAAATCTTGAGGTGCTAAGTAGAGGGTTAAATAGCTGCAGACATTTTGGACAATAAATCACAGTGAAACCTTTAATTCTTGGTTGTGATTTTATTGTTTTCAGCAAATCCTCTGTCATATAGCAGAAACAAACAAAGAGCAAGCATTCTGTTTGTTATATCTTTATTTGTACTATGTTGGGGAGGAGTGTGTGTGTGTGTATGTTAAGAACATATTTTATGGTTTAATTTTTACATTGCAGGTGAACTGTGGGCTTCATCTGGTTATTCAAACATCACCTCTTCCTGAAAAAAACAAAGTAAGAAATAACAGCATGATTTAAAGAGTAGAGTCTGAACTGGAAATGTTAAGTATATTTATTTTAGTCTTCAATCTAAACCTAACTTTTTTTCTGCCTACATAAAATCCCCCCCAAAAAACCTCTTTTAAAAACTGATTCTTATTTCACCAATTGCCACTGGTAAGGTTTGTTTTATTTTATTTTTTTATGTTTAAACATTTCTTAAATCAGAATACTTTTTAAAATTGATGGCACATTGTAGTTTAATTGGGAACGTTTTTTCTTTCTCGGTAATGGGTAAAGTGATGGTGTGTCTTACTACTAATGGAATCTTATAATGGATCAAATGTAATAATTTGGGGGGACATATCTATACATTTCATTTAAAACCAGAGGAGAAAAATAGATTAGTAGTGGAAATAAATTAGTGGAAAAATATATTAGTAGTGGAAATAGGCTTAATGCTATTTAGAAGTTAAGATATGAACATGACATTCTTTTTTTTCTAAACAATTTCCCATAATATCTCTGGTATTTCCATAATTTCTGGGTTTTCATTTGATTTTTGAGATACACATATTTTTCTTTTCCTCCTGTCTTACCTCAGCACTCAAACATACCCACCTCCCACACAATTGTCTCAAGACAGAATATAATTTTTCTGCTTTGACCAAGTTCTACACCTCAAACCATCACAATTCAGGGTCTTTTTTCTCCTGAAGAAAATGTTAAGTAGATGTCACTGGAGGTACTCTAAAGGAAAGGGCAGAGTTTACAGATAACATGGGGAGGGTAAGTAGGGGCATGAGGAGGGTGGATAGAAGGACACTAGTCAAGGAGACAGCAGTTGCTTATATTCTGTGTATGAAAATGAACACTTGTAACCTAAATCATCTGATGATCTTGAATAAATAGCAGTTAGCTAGATCAAGTGAAAATATTTTTATTATAATTGGACATAATAGATTCCTTCCAAAGCTTTGCTAATTGATTTCCCTGGACAAATCCTATTCTACCATTACATTGTGGTTTTAGGAACCATGTGCCTTGTCCAAAATTTTTCCAAACAATTCGTTTTCCCTTGTGTGGATATAATGTTTTGAGAAAATACATTTAGCTCATATACATAAGAAGATAATATGAATGCTAGTGTAATGTTTATAGTATGGATGAATCAGAAGCGTCACAATTCTTTTAAAATACATATTTAGGATTTTTTGTGGTTAATCATGAGAGGTTGTTTGATTTTTTTGGTTGTTTTTTTTTCTGGTTCTATCAAATAATTTACATTCAATTCAGAGAAATCCTTTGTTAGAAGGATTAAGTATACAATTTTATTATGTTATAGTTGGACTCCGAATGCAATTTGAATGATAAAAACAGTGATTTTTGTTTTTATAGTATATTTTTTGCTTTTGTTTTTGAGAAAATTATTCTTTTAATCATTGTATTTGTGGTGAGGATATAGAGGAGTTGGCAGTGGCTCAGGGAACATGGTTTCATCTGACCTTGTGAAATTGACTGAGTGTGTGTGTATATATGTGAAAATATACATAACATAAAATTTACCATTTTTCTCATTTTAGGTTGTACAAATCAGTGGTATTAAATCCACCCACAATTTTGTGCAGCCATTGCTACTATGTACTTCCAGAACTTTTTATCACCTGAAGGGAGTCCCTGTACCAAAAAGCAGTCTCTCTTTGCATCCCTTCCCCACCCAACTGGAAGCCCCAAATCTGCTTTCCATCTCTATAGATTTTCTTATTCTTGATATTTCATAAGTGGAATTATATAATATGTAGCATTTTATGTCTGGATTCTTTCACTTAGCATGATGTTTTCAAGATTCATCTGTATGTTATAGCAAGTGCCAGTTACTGTATATTATTTTACAATTATTTTCATTACTTATTGTTAAATTCTTATCCAATTTTTTTAAACAATGTTTTTTAGGTTGAATTCAGGCTAAATAAAGAAACAGCATCATTCCCTGGTCGACTCTTACAACATGACCTTGAAAGAAACTATTCAAGTAGACAAGGTATTGTCAGTGAGTAGAGATCAGATATGATTTATCTTCTTTGAGTAATATTGTTTAACACTATCAAATTTCCAGATTCAAATACACTTCAATTAAAAATGAAATGTTTAATTGGTTACCAAGTTGGTTTGGTATTTGTTTAAATCAGAATTTATTTTATATACACAGCATAGTAGATTATTTTCAATACAGAAAAAGATGTTGTATTTTAGTTGGAATGAACTATATATAATAGAATGGGAAAGAATCTTCCAAATACTGTATTAGAACTAGGAAAAATGGCTAACTGGTGAAGGTAAGAGTAGGAGGACCCTTTAGGAAATAAAGAAACAGTGGGAAGAGTGGAAAGTTAGGAGTGGAAAAGAAACAGTTTCCCTTACTAACGCATATAATTATAGATATTATATCAAAGACCTTAAACTCCAGTGTGCATCACCCGAGATCTTGTTAGGGATGCAGATTCTAGTGCTCCCCTTGCCCTTTTCCCTTTCCCCATTCTGATTTTGTAGGTCTTGGGTGGCACATGGAAATTTGCATTTTAACAAATAACAAGGGATTCTGATAGATGTGATTTGTGGACCAAACTTTGAAAAATACTGTCTTATATGATCTGGTTATATTTCTGAAATACAGTTTTCAATTTAAGGAGAAATTTCCTTTAGTACATTTGAGTTGTTAGTTGGGTGCTAACAACTGTCAGCGATCTGTAATGTGCGCTACAGAATCCTTATATACAGTACCATCTCTACCTTCTAGGAGTTTGTGTGAGAAGGCTGATCAGTATAGGCCTCTCTAGATTGTTTATCTCATTACTGTGTGAATATGTGGTGACTCTGAATATTTGATTAGTTTTCCGTTTTTGTTTCTTTACTTTTGGACATTCCTCATGGGCCCAAGTAATCTGACATGGTTTTTCTCTTTCCTATATCCTATACTCTTGCCTTGGCCAGTTACTGGGCATGATATCAACCTAACCGCAGTTCCACAGTGCAGGAAACATCTGTCTTGCCTTCTTTGGTTCAGTTGAATATGTATTTCTTGAGTGTATAATGTGCCAGACACTGTATTAGGCACAAAATTATAGATTTGAAGAACGTGAAAGTTCTCAAGTAGGATTTTTTTATGTTTGCATTGTGAATTTTCTTCACATTTGTGATAATAGTATCTTAATTTTTTTTCAAATTATGAGTCAAAAATAAATACTTTTCCCAAGCTATTCTCAAGTTAGAGGAGGAAGTTGGTATGCAGATTTGTGAATACTTGGCTATGTAAATTTATTTAAGTTGTATAGTATTACTAGATGTTTGCTATGAGAAAGTCATATGGAGGTACTGAATTTTGTGAACCTAAAAGATGTATAAAGTCTTATATATAAATAATGACCCATAAAATACAAATTAATTCTTTAGGGAAAAATAAACCTATTTGTTTTTTATTAAAAGATTTTATTCAAAATCATTCTCTGTGACAGACCTACTCATTTGTACCTGGTTGTTTTGAAATGTTCCTCCTTCATAGCTTCAGGCAGTTTCATGTAAAAAAGTCTGTAAAGTATGTCACTGTTTTCTTGACTTTTACTCATAATTCTACCTCCAAAAGCATAAAACCTTGGAAAAATTGTAAGTAGCACTTTATCAGGAAAAGTTTGGGGATGTCTGTTTAATAAACTGCATCCTGATACCTGATCATTATAATTGATTTCACCCCATTTTTTTATTTTTCAAAATTAATTGAACTTATATATAGTTGATCCTTGAACAACACTGGTTGAAACAGTTGTGGGTCCACTTATGCATGGATTTTTAAAATATAAATATTTAGTCTGCACATTGTATCCTTGGGTTGTGTATGTGCAGATTCAACCAACCCTGTACGAAAAGAGTATTTTCCACCTATGGTTAGGAATCCACCGATGCTGAAGGTCAACTGTGTGCATTGTTCTATGCCATTGTATATAAGGACTTGAACATCTATGTATGTTGCTCTCTGCAGGAGTAGGGTCCTGGAACCAGTTCCCCACAGACAGTGAGGGATGATTGAGGATAAGGGGGAATCAAAAGTTATACTCAGATTTTCGACTGCATGGGGGTCAGTGACCATTACCCTTATGTTGTTCAGCATAAATTAACCAATTGTATTCTCTGTCCTAAGTAAAGAAACTCTATGTTTTAGTTAGACTAGTAGTCTTTTTAAATTATTGTTAAGAGTCAACCCTTGTATCCTTGAGATTTTGTAAGAGTCAGACATTCCATGGACTACTATACTGTAAAATCTCAAATAGACCTTAATCATCAAGTTCCTTAATTAAGAATTCTAAAATGTGAACATAGAGAGGAAGAAGCAATGCTTAACTTTTAAGATCATGATAAATCACTGGAAAATCTAGAATCAGGATTTTGGTTACCAAACATTTTCAAAAACAAGGCTGAGTGGACACACATATATGACCATATGTGACTCACCCATCTTTTTATCCATCCGTCTGTCCATCCATCCATCCATCCATCCATCCATATATTTAGGGTGAAGTGCAGTGAAGATTCTTACCAAATGTTGACCATTATGCCTCTTAACAACTGTGAGATCCTAATTATGAAAGAATTCTTTCAGTATTTTTACATTAAATATAATTTTTTATTTTCTTTTTTAACAGAAATACTATATACAAAATAGATTTCCTAATAACTCTTAGTACATTGGAAAATCAATACTGATTTCCTACTGAATTTAGATTCTTCAAAGAATATAAAAATATAAAATGAAGTCTGTCTCTCAAGGCTCTTATACATTTAATTGGGAAGAGAAGGACTACATATCTGGCAAATTAAATAGTGTATATGAAATAATAACAGGAAATATTTTAATTAAAATTTTGCCACAAAGCAATGCAATTTATTTATAGGATGAAACATCCCACATGTATATGTGGGTTTTTGATATTCGTATAAATATATATATGTGGATGTTTATATATCCACATAAATAAGTGGATGTTTCAACACAGATCACTCTAGTTCTCAATCATGTCTTGTTTGTAGGTTTTAAGATTTTTCTACTCAATCATTCTGATCTCTTGCTACTTATTGTAAGCTGTAAAGTATACTGAAGCTCATGGGGATAGTAATTATGACAAGAGCTGAAAAATGTGAAGATAAAATTCCTTTATTCAGTGTGTAAATAAAATTTACTGTTCAAGCCCTGCCAGTTTGGCTCAGCAGTTAGAGCATCAGCCCTCCCACAGAAAGGTCTTGGGTTTGATCCCGGCCCTGGTCGGGGTCCTTTGGGAAGCAGCCAATTGATGTGTCTCCCTCACATCGATGTTTCTGTCTCTCTCTCTCCTTCTCTCTCTTCCACTCTCTCTAAAAATTAATGGAAAAATATCTTCTGGTGAGGATTAACAACAACAACAACAAAATTACTGTTCCATTACTTCCTCTACATTCCAAGTCTTACAAAGTTTAAATCTGCCTCTTAAATTGAGGATTGGCTTGACGTCTTTACAAAAGAATTTAAAAAACCTAACTCTGATGCTAATAAGAGAAATCAAGGTTGTCTGTTGTTCGGAGCTTTTCCTTTATCTGACCAGTTAATCTTTAATCAGTTAATCCTTACACTTATTTTAGTTTGTTTCCAAATAAGTTTACTGAATCATAGTTGCTTGGGTATCCTACTAGCAGCTGGTCATGTCACAAGATGATGTCAATTCTGAATGCTTGTGACATTTCATGATATTCAGAAAAGTGGGGTGTGAGCACTGATTATTTTGTTCAAGAAGCTAGGTGTATGATGCTTTGGTTTATACCTTTTATACCATTGCTTTCTAGCTCTTTAATGTGATCTATGTGGAACTTGATTTTTAGTTGTTTGATGGCCCTGAAGAGTATATTAACTTCCTACATTTAGTTTTACTTTTCTTCTTCTTGGTCAGTGTAAGCAGCAGAATTCTGTGGTAATCTTAGGTTCTATTTGTCAACGTAAGAAACGTTCAAACCTGTGAAGAATTTTTGTGCGTTTATTTGAGCCCAAACTGTTGACAATTGCCGGTGAGCAAAATCTCAATGGATTGAGATAACGCTCTAGACTCTAAAGAATGGCAGTTTTGCCCCTTATTTTATGCATTACAATCAAAGGAGGAGATGTAAGTGGGTTGTGAAATCCATTGGGGATAGATTAGGGAGGTGAAAGAAAGTAAAGCAGGGAAACCTCTGGGATTGGATGAAAAGTAAAATGGTAAGACACGCATCTTTTACATAGGTGGGTACAGGATACTTAACAGTCAACAATTAACTCCAGTAACAATGAGGGGATTTGCGGTCTCTGAAGAGCAGTGCCTGTGCTTTGTGGGATGTGGAAGAAGGAAATTTACTTTGGTATTCCAAAGATTTGTTATCTTAGATGCAAAAAGACAATAGATAGGCTCAGTTAAAGTAAAGATTGATGTTTGTCAGGGAAGATACTAGCCACTTGCCATAAACTACTTTTAGTTAAAAAGTTTTAATTTCAGACCATCCTTTGTGGTTACTTTAGGTCTTTGAGTTTGCAAGACTGCCACAAAGGCCTCCCCTGAGCTTCTCAGGTTAGCATGTGGCCCCTTTTCATTCACATATTTTACTGCTTATCACTCCCCTCAACACCATTGCTGCTTTCAGTAAATTTTCTCTTCATAAAAGAAAATACAAGAGAATTTTTCTGGTATTGCAATTCCTCTGTCACCTCTACCATTACTCAAATCTTACCTCATTTCTGCAACTTGCCAGCATCTTTTCATGAACATTCTACATTTTTCTAGTCTTTAACAGTATATCTTAAAATTCACCTTTCTCCAAACCCATCTGTAATCATCTTGTTTAAATGAAATGAGACACATTTATGTGTGAATTTTTCATTAGGTATTATTTTTTTATTCTGTATTTTGTGCATGTTCTGCTAAATAGTTTATTAATTTCATATGGGTTTGCTCAGTAGATTGAAAGCTACCTAAAGGGAGGGACAACATCTAACCAACAGCCTATATCATCATGGGGTGCCACATACCCTGTGGCTATCACTATAAGTGTATGAGATTTGATGACATCCACCTTGGTTCTGCAATATTTTCTGTAATAGTAGCTGAGCATACAAAAAAAAGTGATGATGTGAGGTTTACATTTGCTATCCAAACTACTTTCTCTGTATTTCCTGTAGCAAAGTCATGTACTGTGTAGCTTTGTGATAAAACTTTTTGATATTTTGAAGGAGATGGAAGAGTAATAAGCCCTTCGCCTCGTAATAAATCATCATGCGTCTCATCCACAACAAACATGACAGAACTGTGTGGGCTGGACATGAAAACTACCATGAGCTCCTTATCAGCATTTGGAGATTCTTCCATTCAGATACCTTCCAAGTCCAGAATCCGGCAGGGCTGTCATAGTGCTGGCCCCAATGTATCTGGTAATGAGGGACTATCATCTCAGTTATAAGAGAGTTAAAATTAAGTATTAGGTGTCAGCATTAAAAGGGATAAAAATAGCACTAGAGTATTTGGCATACACAGAACACAGTTTAGGTTTGAGAAAGAAAAAGACAAACACAAATTTAGTAATTAATTTCAAACATGGAGAGCTATGCAAACTATACTTTCTAGAAAAGATATTTGTAGGTGTCAAACTTCTCTAAATATAAGGTGACTTTAGTTTTAAGATTGTAAAGGTTTTTCTTAAGTAATTTGTATATCATTTTCAATAGGTGATCATATTAATTTGGTGAGCTCATCAGCGCCATTTCCCATTCTCCAACGTTCTTCTGAAGAGAAAATTCTTTACTCAGACAGACTGACCCTAGAAAGGTGAGAACAATTTGTTTTATTTATTTATTTTTACTAGATAATACATAGACATGGTACAAGATTTGAAAGGTACAAAAGTCTCTCTCCCTCATGTTGTTCTCCAGCTATCCAGTTCTTCTACCTAAGAACAATCACTGTTACCAAATTTTTATTTATCCTTAGGGGAGTATGGGGAGGAATTTTATATCTATATAATGTAAAATAAAAGAGTACTAAGTAATTCTAGAATATGACCGATGAAAATGGATTTTAGGATAGAAAAGGCTTTGCAATATAGTCATCACAGGCTACTGGCCCTGTCCATTTGAATTTCCTGTTGCCTCAGTGGCCTCCTCCTCGTCTCTCCTTTGCTCACTCGGCCTCCTTGAATGCACCAAGCATGCTTATGCTTCAAGGCTTTTGCACTTCCTGTTCCCACTTATCTGTAGGCTCATTTCCTTTCCTGCTTTAGTTTTTTACTCAAATGTCATCATCTCAGGGACAACCTTCCCTGGCCACCCACCGCCTTCACTCTGACAGTCCTCGGTTCCCTTATCTGCTTCATTTTTCTTCTTAGCAGTCATCACCCTCTAACATATTAAATATTTTACTTATCAAGTTTATTATTTGTCTTTTCCTACTAAAATATAAGCTCCATAAACACTGGGAGTTTTGTTCACTTCTGTATCCCAGCACGTAGAACAGAGCCTGGGACAAAATAGGCTCTCAATAAAAATTTTTGAATGAATGAATATATTTAGGGCTTGATCCCCATCATTAAACCCAGGAAGGTATCTGCAATAGAATGGTGGCTGAAGGATCCCAACCCTACTGTAGTGCTATAACCAGCAGAGAAACCATCTCTGCTGTGCATTCCTTTACCTTAGCAGTGCATATCTAATAGCAGATTGTTAAGCACACTTCTTAGCTTAGCAGTGCACTCTGGACAGCAAATGTCACAGATCATTTGTGTTTGTATTTGGGATAAAGCTCTTTGGAGGGTGTGATGTTGTTTTGTAGGCAAAGTAACACTTGAGGACAGTTATTCTCATGACATCTTTGCACTACTGTTGGTTTTTAAAATTCTAATGTTATCTAATATTTATAACTTCCACAATATATTTTAAGTTTTTTTTTTTTTTACTCACCTGAGGACATTTTTCCATTTTTTGTTCAGGTAGAGTGGGAGGGAGAGAGAGGAACAGAGAGAGAGAGAGAGAGAGAAACATCGATGTGAAGGGGACACATCAAGTGGCTGCCACCCGCACGACCGACCAGGGTTGGGGACAAACTGCAACCGAGGTACATGCCCTTAGCGGGAACCAAACCCGGGTCTCTCAGGACTGCAGGCCGACGCTCTAACCGCTGAGCCAAACCGGCCAGGGCTTAAGTTTTTTTTTATCCTGATACAAAGATATTGATTTTTTTTGAGAGAGAGAGAAACATTAATGTAAGAGAGAAACATCAATCAGTTGCCGACAGGGGATCGAATCTGCAAGTGGCTGGGATGTGCCCTGACCAGGAATCGAACTCTTCACCTCTTCATGTACTGGATGATGCCCAACCAACTGAGCCACACTGACCAGGGCACTTTCACAATATTTTAATGTTCTGATGGATTTTGTGGCAATTTTTATCTCAGTCTTTAAAAGTCCAGCCAAGGATAATATGTCAGCCTTTTGGTTCCATGTTCCTTGAGGCTAACAGGAGCCAGTATTTATAAGATTGTGACGTAAATTAGGCTCTCGTGTTGCAGCTTGGAGTGACTCAGGCAGTTGTGAAGATGGTCTTTGTCACATGAAGCAAACTTTGATTAGGTGGAGACTTGTTTAACTAGGAAAGTCAGGACCAAGGGAGTTGACTCAGCTTCAAAGGCTGGTTTTAAAATGTCATAGGCTTAGGCACAACTTTATCAGTGCCGGGATGTGCAGTCACGAAAGTTAGGCTGTCATCAAGGCCTTCCAGGATCATTATTTGAGAGTCGGTGGATAATAGCTGTAATTTTCAAAGGGAGATCTGTGATGCTGTGCTGTTTCTTAGCCAGGAAACTGAGGGGTCAAGTAGAATGCAGGCTCTGGCTGGGTAGCTAAGTTGGTTGGAACATCATCCTGTACATCAAAAGGTTATAGGTTTAATTCCCGGTTAGGGTACATACCCAGGTTGTGGGTTTGATCTCTAGTTGGGACATGTCCAAGAGGCAACCAATTGATGTTTCTCTTTCTCTCTCTCTAAGAATCAGTAAAAACAGATCCTTGGGTGAGGATTAAAAATATATTTTTTAAAAAGAGTAGAATCCAGCCCTGAGAAGAAGTGCTTGGAAGAGCCAGGCTCTGACCGTTCTGGAAGGTAGGGTGGGCCTAGAGGACCAGGGAGGCAGCTGACGAGCACCAAGTAGGAAATCAGAGGCAAAAGCGTAATCCAGTAGACACCTCAGTAATGAGGTAGGGGGTGTAGCAACTCAGGGGTTTTTTAGGCATAACAAGCTCTCCTGGAGAGCACTGGGTAATAACCAAGTGTGTGTGTGTTTGCTTGTTTTGCTGGATGACTGGTACTTATGGAGTTAACGAGTGTGTAGCTGAGCCTTGGAGTTGGGACTTAGTCACTGGATTTGGAATCTAAGAAAGTGACTTTATTTCCAGTTGCAGTAGCTTATGTAAGAGGTAGGTCAGAGGGTTTGTTTTGTTTGTTTTTTTCCTATTTTAGTGATACCAATTGGATAAATTAGAAGCTGGGGTATTGGTAAATTCAACTATTAAAAATGAAAACTGAAGCAGGAAAAATGAGACAATTTAAGTTTTTTGCTAAACTGATGCACAAAGATATAAATTTTAAACTAGAATACTTATAATTTATAAAATAAAAGTACCAAATGAGGTAGTGTAATTAAGCGCATGAAATGAATTCTGATTACTAATTACACATTAAAAGAATTAGATTATTACCTAATATTTTTTTCTTTTAAGCCAATTTCTTCAGGGTCTGTACATTTTGAATCCTCACTTGAGGATATGCTTATTGATTTTAGAGAGAGGCAAAGTGGGAAAGAGAGAGAGAAACATGGATTTGTTACCTTCTGTATGCTGGGAATCAAACCCACAACCTGTGTATGTGCCCTGCTGGGAATCGAACCCACCAGCCTTTGGTGCATGGGACACTCCAACCAACTATTGAGCCACACCAGCCAGGGCTTCAGGGTCTGTATTTTTAAACATCATATCTTTGTGAACCATTAACATTCAATTATTACCTTGTGCCAATCATTTTTTTCTCTTTATGAGGATGATTCTCATTAGTCACAATTTCACTTATGCTTATAGCCCTCTGATCTTTCATTAATAGATCATAAGGTTTCATTAACTTGATTTTTACTGAAAGGAAATATTTCTAGTTATCTCCCTATTAGAGTTGTTCATACTTGGATTGACAGAACTACATTTTCCTTGAAGACTCTTGAGAATCTCAGATCATTTCTATTTGGTTATTTTATTACCCTAGTAGAATTCTTAAAGGGCCCTGCACATATTAACTTCACATGTAATACATTATAACTTTCTGCATAATGTTTACTATTTTAAATATAGCTAGAGGTATGTATATATTGTTAAGGTTTCATCTTACCTAATGGCATTCTAAATATTCTGCAAAGTTCAAAGTTAGTGTTGAACATGTAAACATAAACTTAAAATTTTGTGTCTGCAGAAGTGTTCAATAAAGGATGAAATTTTTTTATTAGAGTGAACTGTAGATGGCTGAATTTCTTACTCTTCCTAAGATATTATCTAGTTCAAGAGTGGACGATTCTACGAGAGACCCTTTTCCATTTTGTTTGTTTCTGATGACTTAGTTACCTGGGTGCCCTTTTTGTCAGTCGATTGATGGATGGCAAGGGCATTTCTTTGGTTATGTGACATAGTTCTTTGAATCATCCAACCCTCTGTTGCATAGGCAGTTACATTGAGTGTTTTCTAATGGTAAGTCAATTTTATGTGAAATAATATATTGTAGTTTTTTTAATGTAATGAGAGCTTAGACTTCATTTTAATAATTATCTTTGTCAAACTATATTAGCTTTTATATGAACGATTTACAGTTAGATCTAGGATGCTTAGTTCATAGAGGCAAGAAGTGGTTCTATTTATCTTTTTCTTCTCATAACATGGGAACCAAAGATACTAACAATATATGTAAGAGAAGGCAGGCTGCCAAATCAGAATCCAATTAACCTTTTGAAATGTTTTTTAGGCAAAAGCTGACTGTATGTCCTGTTATTGATGGGGAAGAACACCTTCGTTTATTGAACTTTCAACACAACTTTATAACTCGAATCCAAAATATTTCTAATCTACGAAGGCTAATATTTTTGGATTTATATGATAACCAGATTGAAGAAATTAGTGGGCTTTCTACTCTGAGATCCCTCCGTGTCCTTCTGTTGGGGAAAAACAGGTAATCTTTGTAGAGCAGTTTTTGTTTATTATATTTAGGACTAATGTTGAGTCCTATGGTGTTTAATGGCAACTCAGAATTGAAAAGTAGTTAAGAACGTAATAGACTACATTTTTTGAAAGTGTATTTGAATAGATTAAGTAAGATTCCATCACAATTTGTTTTATGACATTCAGTCTGACAATTAGTAAAACCAAATAACATTTTATTGAGTGTGTATTTTGTTACTTCCATTGCCATAGCTCATATGGAAGTAGAGTGGCACATTTGGCCTATATGTTTTCTTAGGCTGTATTTTAAGCATGTGTATTTACTTTAGGCATATGCATTTCACTAGTGATTCTTCTCAGTGCTTGACTGAGGGTAGACATTTGATACTTGGTGATTGTCAAATTACTGCTTGATTCTCGTTCAGGTAGTGTTTTCAGCATGTATTAAGATTATACCCTATGTGAATGTCCCCAGTGCTTTTCATAAGGCTCTACTATGTTGTGCAGCTACACAGTTCCCAACTAATTGCCTTGAGATTTGTTCATGACTTTCTTTCTATTCTGCTTTACTGGATAGCTTTTGCAATACCTAGAAAGAATAGTTGTTTGGCAAAATTCAAAAATGATTTTTATATCATCAAGTGATAAAGTTTAGATATGGCCAAGCATGGTTCCCTCCACCCATCTTTCTTCCCCCACAGTGTGGATCTTGAATTACCTCTTTATTCTTATTAGCCAACAGTAACATAAAATATTTTTTCTAAGATCATGTCCCAGAGTTCTAGGGTCTAATCTGTTCTCTGTGGTTTCTTGAAAGTTCCCATTGGTGCAGTCTATCACCTACTATTGGTTCAAGTATTAAACTAAACAATATAGTACCATGAGGGAATTTGGGGGAATTATAGGATTATAGAGTACTAGAGCTTGAAGTGACCTCAGAGAATAGCTTTCTTATTGTACAGATGGGGAAATGGAGATGAGATGTAAGGTGAGTTTTGCAAGGTTAGATATGTACAAATTGTATACAGCAGGAGTAGTTCACTGAATAAAGTGAGGAGTAAAGTAAACCTTTCATACATGCAAGGCATTCCCTTCTAGGTGCTCACTGTTAGCACTCCCAGATTTTTCTTTACTAGTTTCTGATCCTTGGAGCTACTGATTTTTTTCTCTAGCTTCCACTTATTCTGCAATACCATTGACTTTATGCCCTTCATGTCACTGTTTTCCGGTGGCATTGTAAATCTCCTTTCCTAGTTTTAAACAGTATCTAGAGCTGCTCCTGGTTCCTAATGTTTTAAATAATCTCTCAATTTGCTCTCTTTTCCTGTGCCTCAAAGACACCAGTGTATGGGACCTTTTTAATCTCCTTAAAGGTCCCTTTCCTCCTCTCTAGGGTCCACTGCCCTTCTCTGTGTCCTTACCATTGTCAAGTAAAAGCAATTTAATGCAGTCACTTTTTCATCTTTCTACTCCTCCATCCTTTTGTTTGTTTTCTTGCTTTGTGTCTTATTTTACTTTAATTAATTCTCCCATTAGAAAATAGCTGTTATTCAAGTTCTTGAATAAAAAAGAAAATTAATCAAAAAACAACTTTCCACATTCTCCCGACTTGCATATTTCTGCAGGATCAGTACAATGCAAATCTGATCCCTAAAACATACACCTAATGCTCTTCAGTCAACTGACTTCGATAAGGCCTGTGAGTCTTGAAGATGCAAACCCCTTCTGAGGCAGTACTTTAGTGACCATTAGGCAAAACTGGCTGAGGACTGCTGGAGAAGAGAGAAGTGCATCTGCCACCCTGAGCCCTCATATTCATCTTGGGTGACTTGATGCCCCTTGCTGCCCAAGTCCAGAAACTTTTCCCTCCCACATTGCAAAGCACTGCACTATCTTCTAGTCCAAGTCAATGGAACCACATATGAAAATCTAGGACAACCAATTGCCCCTAGATTAAAACAGCTCCAACGAATATTTCTGCTGAAAAGCTAGAAGGACCTTGCTATGCTGTATGTGAAGTTTACCCTGCTACTAACGAATTAGCAACCCTCTGTATGACTTCACTGTTGAAGTTTTACTGTCTGACTCTTCCGCTTTCTGTATCCGGTTATCCTTGTGAGGTCTTCTGGTGCCCTCATGATCACAGGCTAGTGAATAGAACTTCTCTGCATGTTCTTCTGATCACCAAGGACTGTGTATAAAACTTTCTGCCAGTCCTTGGGATTCCATGTTCCTTTCCTTTTGATTGCTGGAGGGTTCCCACTTATGGGTTTGTCTCTGACACCTGAAAAGCCTAACCCTTCATATAGATCCTGTAGAGGGGACCGTATCCTGCCATCAGTAATATAATGTGACCTGCAGAGACAAACTGTCATATATCCCTAGAGTTCTGTAGCTGCTGAAGTGATAGCTGAGCTTTGTCTTTTTCTAGTTTCAGTTTGTTTAATATGAGAACTGTAAAAATAATCTTTCAGGTCACATTGGTGTTAATGTGAAAATCTTTAACTGTTTGGGAACTGACTAGGATTCTGCAAATTTCTCGCATCAGTACCTAATCTGACCATGGCCTCCTAGGTCAACTGATACCTTCATCTGCCTCTGAATTATTTAGAATTGTATCTGTTTTTATGTCATTTCAGGTCCTGGGGGGTGTATGGCAAAGGCAATTCATGAGAACAAGACAGCAGGATGTTTAGTTTGTTTTGAGTTTAACTGACTAAGCAACTTGCCGATTTTTCTTCCTATTCACCTGGGCAATCAGAATCTGAAGTGAGAGTCATAAAGCCACTATGTGTCAAAGCTAAGAGAGTGCTTGAAATCACAACAGATGGGGACTGTTTCACTGTATAACTTAACATATGTGAGGCCCTGGTTGAGTTCTTTGGGAAGACCTGTTGCACACTTAGGTTTCTGTGATAGAAGTGCCTTAAACGTGCCCAGAGTTTCTGGTCAATACAGAAACAAATTACACTGATCTTTCAAATCAGAGAAAGTTGGGCTGGGACACTCTCCATCTCTTGTGTATAATTTCCAATATGTTAAAAATATAATTCTCAGACAAATAGATACTAATTCCAGGACAGTTTTCGAATTAACTCATTAATGAGGAAACCAGTAGGATGACAAAGCTGATTCAAAGGAGGATAAGAGAAATTAATGTATAGTCAATGAAAATGAAGAATGCTGCAATAAAATTGTTAAGTTATAAAGAAGGTTATCTTTCCTATTAGACAGAAATAAATTTCATTCCTACTTGGCAAAAATCATACATCAGTTTTCTACAAAAGTAAGTATATAACTTTACAAAATTTGGGCTCTGATCCATCGTGATAGTCAGGTGATTTCTAGGTGGGCTTGTTGACAGTCTCTGCTACGGGGCAGAAAGGACTTGCAGCCATCCCTTTGCCTTCTTCCCAAGAGGGGGTTATCAACATCAAGTAGCACCTTTTCTATATTCACATATCATAGTTTTATAAAATTGTTTTTATACTGTTTTTCATTTGAATATTTATATTTTATTACTTTTGTTTTTCCATGTCATTAAATGTTCTTTGAAAATATAATTTTTTAAGAGCTTTATAATCTGTATGGGTATATATGTAATAATTTACTTATTTTCTTTTTGTTAGATATTTACATTGTATATATTTTTTCTTTGCTATAATGCTGTGATAGATACTCTTGTCCATAAATTTTTGTCTGTATCTCTGATTATTTTCTTAGAATAGGCTTTAGTATTTTCCATTAGGTAGGTGAGTTCATCCTCATAAAGCTCATATGAGGAAGAATAGATTTTATGGGAAGACGGTCTATATTTTAGGGCATTCTCAAAATGTAATACCTGGACCAGCAGCATCAGCATTACCCAAGAAATTATTAGAAATGTAAACTTTTGGATCCTATCCTAGAAATTCTGGAGGTGGGGCTCAGTAAGTTATATTTTATCAAACCTCCCAGATGATTCTGATATACACAGAAGCTTGACAACCACTGTTTTAGGGAATGTGAGCCTAGGAGTATAAAAGGATTGAATAAAAGGCTTCACTCTTCTCCTAAGCCATATTATTATGGTATTGTAATTTTCCTCAACTGTTGTAGGTATTTCAAGAGCAAAGTAGGCAGGGGAATAATTTTGTTGAAAGTTTGTCTGTTTTTCTATCTGGTTTGGCTGCTATTATTATTGTTATTATTAGTATTGCTATTATTATTAGAGAGATTTAAGTGTTAGATAGGATAGTATTAAATGCTGACTGTGGGTGAAGGCTAATGAAGGATTCCAAAGAGTCTGGAAGGATATTAGTGGTTTGAATGTTTTCAGGGTGTAGGTTGCTTTCTAGGAAAAAAGCAAGTTCTCCCAGTATGATGGTGTGAGAGGAGACTGATGAGGAGTTTGTGGTCATAAGGGAGTGGTGTGTGTGTGTGAGTGTGTGTGTGTGAGAGAGAGAGAGAGAGTGAGAGAAAGAGAGAGAGAGAGAGGGAGAGGGAAAGGGAGAAGGGAGAGAGGAAGAACTACAATCATGCTGTGATGATATGTAGTGGGTGTATAATAAATATATTTGTAAATCAAATTGTATTGAGTTGATTGTGGTGATATAATCTGGATTTGGCAATTATGGAAGATGGGTGAGGTGAAATGGAGACAGAAATTCATGAAGTTTAAGTTTCCATTATGTATACATGGTGATGAGCATATATGAAGTTTCAAGGGATGATCCAGGTTCTGGAAACATTTAGGAAAGTGGTCACAGTTCTTTGAGGCAGTAAACAAAGGCAACAGAAATGAATAATGAAAGGAAGATGCTGATAAAGATGGATTGCATGAACTTTATTTTTATCCTTTCCCTGCCATTGTTCCTTTCAACTGAATAATGGTAGTAGGAGAAAGAAGGGTCTCTAGGAGGGAGAACAATAAAAGGGAAGTGTGTTTGTTGTTGTTGTTAGATGCGTTCATTTGGAGGCAGTTAGATAGGTAAGGTAGCCCAAGAATATAGGAATGAGGGCCCTGGCCGTTTTGGCTCAGCGGTTAGAGCGTCGGCCTGCGGTCTGGAGAGACCCGGGTTCGGTTCCCGCTAAGGGCACGTTCTTCGGTTGCAGTTTGTTCCCGGCCCTGGTTGGTCATGTGGGTGGCAGCCACTCGATGTGTCCCTTCACATCGATGTTTCTGTCTGTCTCTCCTTTCCTCTCTCTCCCTCCCACTCTATCTGTACTAAAAATGGAAAAATATCCTCGGGTGAGGATAAAAAAAAAAAAAAAGGAGGAATGAGGGAGACAGTGGGTAGGCCCTAAGCTTAGGGGATATAAGAGGGGGTATTTTAGAGATAAAATTGTGTGCTTTTTCATTTATAGTATTTCAGCTTTTCAAAAAATGGCAAATCAAAAATTCCATATAAATATTCACAAACTAAGTAAGTCCAGTAGAAGGCATTTAGATGGTATTCATTTTGTCTCTGTGGCAAATAATCCTGTTATGAATAATCTTGTACATAAAATACATTTGTTTAGTTATATGTTCATTCATTCATTCAACAAATATTTATTGTGTGCCTGCTTGGTGCCAGGCACTGTCATGAGTCCTCATGATAGAGTAGAGAACATGTTGATGTTTCTGTCCTCTTGAAGCTCATATTTTTGTTAGATGAGGGAAAGCATTAAAAAGTAAACACATGAATAATATAATTTTAGGCAAGGATAAGCACGTTGAAATCAATTAAAGCAGGTGAAGGAAAGAGTAATGGGGACAGGAACAGAGAGCTATTTTTGATTGCGCCATCTGGCCAGACCATTCTGAGAAGATATTTGAGCTGAGACCTGGATTATGTGAAGGTGTGACCATGTGAAATTCTGGGGAAGAAACATTAAGGAAGAAGCAACAGCAAGGGTAAACACCCCGAGCAGAAATGAATTTGTGAGAATAGAGATAGCACGAAAGCTGCTGAGGCTGGAGTAGAATGAGCAAGTGAGCCCGAGCTATGGTAGGAGATAAGGCTGGAGAAAGAATCAGCAGCCAGATGGTTTAGGGCCTTGAGAACTGAGGTAAGGAGTTTGGATCATATTCTAAGATGAAGGGAACTGATTTGAATAAGTGCCTTGCCTCAGGTTCTTAGAAGAATGACTCTTTTTTAAGATAATTACTTTTAAGCTAGGGGACCATTTTCTCTAGTAGGACTGCATATTTAACAATATAATTAAATTGATGGGAAATATGTTCTTATTTAATATATGTAATTTTACATATCTGTATATTTGTATAAATAGATAGGTATAGTTATTTCTATATCTGTATTTTACCTTATAGGGAATATAAAATGAGTTATGCCTTAGCATATTTTGATCTACAATAGATGTGATATATCCACATTTTTTTACTGTACTTATTCTGATTTTCAGAATCAAGAAGATCTCAAATCTGGAGAATCTAAAAAGCTTAGATGTCTTGGACCTTCATGGAAATCAGGTATTGTTAAGACCTTTTATTTTTTTCTTCCTTGAAAAAAGTCCAGGAAATTTGGCATTGTAAAAGTTTTAGAATTATACTGAATTTTTCAAGAGTTACTTTACTGATTCAGTGAAATGTTAAGCCTATTTATATATGATTTGGTAATTTCTTGCAGTAAATGATACATAAGCATTTGAAATTCTTATAGTTATGACAATTTTGTTTCTTATTCAGTCTTTTTTTTTTTTATCCTTACCCAGGGACATTTTTCGATATTTTGTTCAGATAGAGTGGGAGGGAGAGAGAGAGAGAGAGAGAGAGAAACATTGACATGAAAGGGACACATTGAGTGGTTGCCACCCACACGACCCAACCAGGGCCGGGGACAAACTGCAACTGAGGTACGTGTCTTTAGTGGGAACCGAACCCAGGTCTCTCTGGACCGCATGCTGACGCTCTAACTGCTGAGCGAAATTGGCCAGGGCTCTTATTCAGTCTTTTATTAACTTACTTAAAAATATATACATTATCCAACCCTAACCCAAGAACTAGAATTTATTACTAATTATTTCCTTCTACTTAGGTGTTCCTCCTTTATTTTGAGATAACCACTATTTTGGATTTTACATTTATCATTCTTTTTTTTTTATCCTCACCCGAGGACATTTTTCCATTTTTTGTTCAGATAGAGCGGGAGGGAGAGAGCGGAAGAGAGAGAGAGAGAGAGAAACATCAATGTGAAGGGACACATTGAGTGGCTGCCACCCGCACGACCAACCAGGGCCGGGGACAAACTGCAACCAAGGTATGTGCCCCTAGAGGGAACCGAACCTGGGTCTCTCTGTACCGCAGGCCGACGCTCCAACCGCTGAGCCAAACCGGCCAGGACTCATTTATCATTCTTTTATGAGTAATTTTTAGTTGGTTTTATCACATATATGTATGCCCTAATAATATATCATTTAGTAGCATTGTCATTTAATTTGAAAAAGGTATCATAGTGTTGTCCTCTAGTTTTCACTTTTTAGTGCAATACTATGTTGCTTGCATCATCTTTTTGATTAAGTAGCTGTAGTTTATTCATTTTCACTGTTTTATGTTTCATGGTGTGGTTAGACAAAAACTTTTTTCTCTAGTATATTATTGAAAGACATTTGAGTTGTTTCCTTTTTTTTTCGGTTTTGTTTCCTTTTGGGAATAATACTTCTAAGAACATTCTTGTATATGCTTCTTCCATATACCATATGTACTCTACAGTATAGAGTGAGTACAGAAGCGAGATTGATGGGTTAGGTTATTTAAATGTCTAACTTTAAAAGATGATGCCAAGTTGGAGGCTGAACATGGCAGCAGACAACACTGGAGTGAGGGTGGGAGTATGAGTAGGTGCGCATGTGTGAGAGAGTGTACGGGGGGGAGTGTAGGCAGGCAGCTGCCTGTCAGTGGGGGAACCCAGGGCAGGCCTTTTGGATACCCTGGGTGGAGGAAGCTGCCAGCAGCAGAAGTGTGGTCCCAGGCCAGGCACTTCTCTCCATTCACAATCAGAGAGCATGATATTTTGGAGGATTTATAGGGTCCTCCATAGGAGGAGGCTGCAGGGAACAGCAGAGACCCAGCGCCTGGAGGCCACAGAGAGGCATGCCCAGCCACTGCTTCTCCTCTGGCAGCAGAGGTCCCAACTGCTCCGACAGAGCCAACCAGCAGCAGAGGGCCCCGCCACTCCCACACAGCCAAACAGGAGCAGAGGGCCCTGCCATTCCCAGTGACCCACCAGCGGCAGAGAGCCGCCAGCCCCATTGCAGCAATGAGCTGCAGGCATCATAGCTGCCCCCCAGCAGAGAGCCATGGTCCAATTGACCTGTTCCTAAAGAGCAACTGGCCCTGCTTCTGCCACTGACAACCACTAGCAATCCCAGGTGACTGGACTAGATCTGAGATCCAGCGCACATGACCCATCACAAAACAATACCCTGGATACACTGACCTGCTCCCCCAACTTGGCCTGCCCCACCTGGTCCTGGAACACCAGACAGATAAAGTGGTGAGACAGAGAAACAAATTCCAAATAAAAAGAAAAGAAGGAATCTCCAGAAAAGGAACTAAATGAAATGCAGGCAAGCAGTTTATCAGATAAAGAATTCAAAGTAATGGTAGTAAGGGTACTCAAATAATTTAGTGAGAATTATAAGCAACTTAATGAGAACTGTAAAGAACTCAGTGGGAGCTTTAAAAAAAAAAAGAGGTAGAAGCTATTAATAAGAATCAAGAGGGAGCCCTGGCCGGTTTGGCTCAGCAGTTAGTGCGTTGGCCTGCGGTCCAGAGAGACCCGGGTTCAGTTCCCGCCAAGGTCGCGTACCTCGGTTGCAGTTTGTCCCCAGCCCTGGTTGGGTTGTGCAGGTGGCAGCCACTCGATGTGTCCCTTTCACGTTGATGTTTCTCTCTCTCTCTCTCCCCCTCTCTTTCCCTCCCACTCTATCTGAACCAAAAATGGAAAAATGTCTTCAGGTGAGGATAAAAAAAAAGAATCAAGAGGGAATGAAGAATGACATAGCGGAAATAAAGAACTACTTGTTGGTAGGATTCAGTAGTAGATTGGAAGAAGCTGAAGACCGAATCAGTGAGTTAGCAGATAAAGTAGAAAAAAACACCCAATTGGATCAGCAGTTGGGAAAAAAATTAAAAAGCAAGAGGAGAGTTTAAGGGAGCTTTGGGACATTACAAAATGTAACAACATTTGCATCATAGGGGTACCAGAAGGAGAAGACTTGTAGAAATGAATATAGAACTTGTTTGAAGAAATAATAACAGAAAATTTTCCTAACCTGGTGAAGGAAAAAGTCATACAAGTCTAGGAAACACAGAGAGTCTCAATCAAGATAAACCCAGAAAGACCCACACCTAGACACATCATAATTAGAATGGCAAATATTAAAATAAAAGAAAGAATCTTAAAGGCAGCAAGAGAGAGAAAGAAAATTACCTACAAGGGAGCTCCCATTAGACTGTCAGCTGATTTCTCAATAGAAATAGGATACAAAAAATGAAAAGAAAGTGACTGAATCCAAGACTACTCTATCCAGCAAGTCTATCATTCAAAAAAAGGCCAAAGGAGTTTATTGCTACCAAACCAGCACTGCAAGAAATGATAAAGGGACTGTTGTAAGAAGAAGAAAGAGAGAGAGGAACACAGGCATAAAGAATAAAACTGGCAACAAATAAGTACCTATCAATAATAACCTTAAATGTAAATGAATTAAATGCTCCAATCAAAAGACATAAGGTAGCTGAAGAAAACATGACCCATATATATGCTGTCTACAAGAGACTCACCTCAGGGGAAAAATAAAAGATGTACACAGACTGAAAGTGAAGAGATAGAAAAAAATATTCCTTGCAAATGGATCTGAAAAAAAGGCTAGAGTAGCAATACTCATATCTGACAAAATAGACTTCAAAATAAAGGTCATAACAAGAGACAAAGAAGGGCATTACATAATACTAAAAGGATAAGTCCAAAAAGAGGGTATAACACTTGCACCCAATACAGGAGCACCTAAGTGTGTGTGTGTGTGTGTGTGTGTGTGTGTGTATTAAAAACCCTCTTAATTAGCTTTAAGTGAGATGATAGTAATAGTCATAGTAGGGGACTTTATACCCCACTGACATCACTGGATAGATCTTCTAGACAGAAAATTAACATGAAAACAGAGACCCTAAACAATGCACTACATCAGATGCACTTAAGTGATATTTAACCAATATTTCACCCTAAAGCTGCAGAATATATATTCTTTTCAAGTGCACATGGGACATTCTCAAAGGCAGACCACATGGATGGTAGGACATAAACTAAGTCTCTACAAGTTCAGGAAGACTGAAATCATATCAATCAACTTCTCAGATCACAATGGCATGAAACTCGAAATAAATTACAAAAAAAAACATTAAAAAACATTCAAACACATGGAGGCTAAATAGCATGTTATTAAACAATGAAGGGGTTACCAATGAGATCAAGGAAGAAATCAAATACTTCGTGGAAACTAATGAAAATGAGCACGTATCAACCCAAAATCTATGGGACACAGGAGAAGCAATCTTGAGAGGGAATTTTATAGCATTACAGGCCTGCAATTTGTAATAAACTATTTAATCCTACAACTTAAAGTACTTGAAAGGAAACAACAACAACAAAACCCAGAGTAAGTATAACAAAATAATGAAGATCAGAGCATAAATAGTAATACAGTCATAGCCTTAAAGAACTTGAAAGGAAACAACAACAACAAAACCCAAAGTATAAACAAAATAATGAAGGTCAGAGCATAAATAAATAACATAGAGACTAAAAAAAACTATTAAAAAAAGTCAATGAAACCAAGAGCTATTTTTTTCCATTTTTTTGTTCATATAGAGTGGGAGGGAGAGAAAGGAAGAGAGAGAAAGAGAGAAAGATCGACGTGAAAGGGACACATTGAGTGCCTGCCACCTGCACGACCAACCAGGGCCGGGGACAAACTGCAACTTTAGTGGTACACAGACTCACCAAAAAAACAGAGAGAGGGGACCCAAGTAAATACGATCACAAATGAAAAAGGTGAAGTAACAACTGACACACAGGAATACAAAGGACTGTAAGAAAATACTATGGCCCTGGCAGGTTGTGGGACTGATCCCCAGTGAGGGGCATGCAGGAGGCAGCCAATCATTGTTGTCTCTAATCAATGTTTCTATCTCGTTCTTCCTCTCCCTTCCTCTCTCTCTAAAATCAATAAAGGAAAAAATTTGTTTTTAAAAGAAGAACTAATACCCATTCTTCTTAAACTATTCCAAAATATTCAAGAGGAAGGAAGACTTTTAAGCTCTTTTTATGAGGCAAGCATAATGCTAATTCAAAAGAAGATAAAGACACCAAATTAATATTATTGGCCAGTATTCCTGATGAACATAGATGCCAAAATCCTCAACAAAATATTAGCAAATCGGCCCTGGCCAGTTTGGCTCAGCGGTAGAGCATT